TACTCAACATTTTTTGGGTTAGTATTATTTATGTTTACTTGAAGGATTCAGAGTGTTTACGTCCACGATCTCACAGTTCATTACTTAGTGAATGAGTTCATTGTGAAGAATATTGATTGCGATGAGTATAACTACTTTGATATGTTGAATGATGTCTTTGAACTAGCTTTGAAAGATTTTCCTTCAAACGTCAATACTTTCATATCACTAAGTTGTGCAATCCATGGGTCAATGCAAAAAATACATGTAAAAGAAGATGCTAATGTGGTGAAAATGTTCTAGTTGAACAACAAGAGCACTATGATGTATGTCTATATTGATGGTGTTCAGTTCATTCAATCATTGCAGGGTTTTGAATGCACACTGTTAACAGGCTAAGGTATAGTTTGATGACATGTTAGTCATATGCTGGTGGATGATATGTACGGATTATAAACTTATGTTGAATGATACACAGGGATTATTAAACATGTGGTAGTATAATTTTGTTGGTGCTATTGATACTTAGTGATTGTCGAGTATTTGATGGTGCTTAATAATTCTGTCAAGTTTATTCTACCATATATTTACACAAGATTGGAATTTTCTAATACTCATAATTGATGATGCATAAAAGTGGATTATGCACGATCAACAGTTGAGTATATGCTAAGGTGTAATTAATGGACAATTAATAAAGTAATCAACGACAGTAATGTAAATATTGAGTCAACACACAAATATATAGTGGTTCGATCCGAATGACCTACTTAACTCTGGGAAGCGACAACGATGTGTGTGTAGAGAGGTGTAGATGTAGAGTTCAATGTGTCTTCTCATGTAGAGAAGACTTATAATTTATAGACACAGAGTCTTAGTTAATGCGGTGACTTGAGGGCAAAAGTACTAATTTTCTGGGTATCTACAAAAAGTAATTGTCATAAAAAGTTGTCCTGATCTTCGAGAGGTAGAATCCCTATAATTACTCCTCATGTGCTATAATTCTTCTTGAACTCCTTGGAACTTGGGCTGGGCCAAATTTGCGAGTTGAGCTTGACCTGCCTATTAGTTGACTNAGAGGTAGAATCCCTATAATTACTCTTCATGTGCTATAATTCTTCTTGAACTCCTTGGAACTTGGGCTGGGCCAAATTTGCGAGTTGAGCTTGACCTGCCTATTAGTTGACTTACCTATTAGTTGACTTAGGCATACTGTATTTACTGGATCTAACCTGATTAGATTTGGGCTTGTCAATAATTTTACACCTTACTTGAACAAAATTATCAAAATTTGAGTGCATTGTAGCACTACAAACATAATTACATTCAATGCCAACAGTTGCCTCATCAACATTAGACTTGTTTGGTCATGGTCTTGAATTATTTGAATCCTTCTATATAGTGGCCTTCATTTGGTTGAAGACTTCTTTGCAATGCTGCTCGCTTCGGTTTCTAGATTATCTGGGTTCCACCACTCGAAAAAATCACACTCGAGACAACTAAAGTACAGTCTATCCGAATTTTTTGATGATTCAGATATCCTTACCAAGGCTCGTTTTCTACATCAACATTTTTTATTTTAAAATCGCAACCACCGTCCCTCGGAAGCTCCATTATGCACATTAGACTTGTTTGGTAGACATATTACGAGGGGATTAAATATTAGATTGTATTATTTTTTATTTAATCGGACCTAATACTTTATTTGGTAAATAAATTTGACACCGTATTAATTTCAAAAAAAAATATTTATCGTATATTTTTTATACGTTAGACCTGTATTATGGAGGTATTTTAATACCACTAAAAGAGATGGTATTATAATCCAACTCAAACGTATTATTTTGCACATTTACCATTATAACCCTCAAACTGATAAAATCAAATTGTCATCATTGTAACAAACACTGACTGAAGGTATTTTTGTTAATTTAAAATTAATAAAATAAAATAATTCTTTATCCAAACAATCGATTGGATTAAATAATTACTATCTAACGTTTATGTTGTGTATTACCAAACACTAGATAAAATTATGTATTATTCTAATACCATATTTAGTCTTGTTTTTTTGTCATTCTGTATTATATTAGACCAAATTATTTTATTTAATTCATCCATTTCTAATATGACATCCAAATGAGCGCATTGTTGTTCGAAGAATTCATTGTTTGAGCAGTTCACCGAAAATTACGTTGGTGTCCCGTTTTGATTTGAGGTTGTTGCCGGGGGCCACAATACAACCAACTGGGCCAATGGTTTGTGTATAACAGTTGGGGCAATACTAGGCCAATTCATCGTTGTTTAAATTTAGTTTTTTGCAAATTTAGATGATAAATTGATAGACCAAGGACACGAATTTAGCTACACACCATTAAAATTAAGCAAATACGTGTCAATTAAAATACATGCAACACAATTTCAACACAAAATTCGACACAAGACGGCTCTTTTCAATCTTAAAATTTGAATATATTACCTAAATTTAGACGAACAATGGTTATTAACCATTTTTATATGATATTTATGCACAATTTTAGTATAATTAGCAATGCATGATGTGTGTTGCACATAAATAAATTTAAATAATATTTTTTATAAAAGAAAAAAAAGTGAATTATAAGTGTAATTAATTAAAATAATAAATTAGATTTCAAATAATTAATCTTTATTTTAATTATTATTAATTTATTTTATAAACCTTTGAGTATTTAATCTGTCATTTATTTAGGCATTTGCACTGATAATTATATTATAGGATTATTAATTTTTATTTTTTTTAATAGATTGGTTGGATCATTTATAATATTATTATATTATTGCATATACTAAAAAATAAAAATTACATTAAAGTATATAGATAATAAATAAGAATAAAATTAAAAATTAAATTTTTTTTTACCAATGCTCATGTTTATAAGTAATAATATAAATATGGGTTTTTTGGAAGCTAGTACACCTAATTAGACTTATTTGACAAAAAGTATATAGAACAAAATATTAGTTAAAAAGACATAAATGCTCATTTTAGGGTCATTTAATTCAAAATATCTTATCTTTAATGCACCTTAATTCATATGTGTTTGTTAATACATATAAATACGTATTTAATGCATTTTTGATTCATGTATATTTGTTAATATATATATATATATATATATATATATATATNATTTTTGATTCATGTATATTTGTTAATATATATATATATATATATATATATATATATATATACTTATTTACACACACACATATATTATATATTTGTTGTTAAATCTTTTATTTAAATTTTAAATTATATTTAATGCACCTTGATTCAAGCGTTTTATTTTTGGAAAATAGTTTTATTTTGAAATTAATTTAATATCCAAATAATGTAATAGTATAACAATAACAGTGTAACAAATACCNGTTTTATTTTTGGAAAATAGTTTTATTTTGAAATTAATTTAATATCCAAATAATGTAATAGTATAACAATAACAGTGTAACAAATACCCTATAACAAAGACAGTGTAACAAATACACTGTAACAAAAACAGTGTTCAGTAGTTTTGTGTATATGGTAACAAATTCAAAATGTAGATGAACTATTTTGAATGAAATTATATGAAACTATATGTTTGACAAAATGTAATAGTACAATATTTTGTGTAAATAACTTGTTTCACTATTGGTGCACTGTTACACTTTTAATGTTACACTATTATTATTACACTTTATATTGTTATACTGTTATTGTTACACTATTACACTATTCGGCTATTAAATTAATTTGAAAATAAAACCACTTTCTAAAAAAAATGCATGAATCAAGGTGCATTAAAAGATAATTCAAAATTTAGATAAGAGATTTAAATGTAAAATTTATATATATATATGTGTGTGTGTGTGTGTGTGTGTGTGTCTATATATATATAAATGTATATAAAAATATATATTAAAGTTTTCTCATAAAACTAGAAGATGTTTAATGCACCACTTTTCAAAGAAAAGTGGTGTATTAAATACGNTCTATATATATATAAATGTATATAAAAATATATATTAAAGTTTTCTCATAAAACTAGAAGATGTTTAATGCACCACTTTTCATAGAAAAGTGGTGTATTAAATACGCATGGATTAATGGAGGACAAAAATGTCACAATAAAAATAGATAAATTCAAATTATGTACTTAAATACAAATAAGTATCAAAATTAAGTATTTAATAACCCTACATTTTTTAGTGTGTACTTTTTACCAAATAAGTCTAATTTAGTGTACTCCTTACAATTTACCCTATAAATATAATATAGATATAGATATACGATTAAGTGGCCCATGGACGGGCCAGGTTGTCACATTTCTTGGTGGAACCTCAGAGAAGGATGATCCTGAAATTTCACAAGCAGTTACGCTCTATACAAGGATTGTACAATCACATGGATGTAACTCTAATAATTTCATAGTAAATATTTTTGGAGACGACAGTAAAGAACAACATCGACTCTATTAACAATTTAATGGGATTGTACCCGTAGAAAATTGTGATGAGAGCGCAAAGAAAATGTTTTTTATCACGTTATCCATGTGACCCATTTTAAATCTCAAAGTGACGGGATTGTCGTGCATTGAACTTTTTTTTAAAGAATTTGTGATGGTGGTTGATCTAAGAACTAAGGTTGATAATCGAATTGAGTTTTATGAGTTAGAACAAAGTTTGTCGAGAAAAATTGTTTAAACTTGACTCGTTTAAAATATGAGTCGAGCCAAAGCCTAAAATGAGTCAAATTCAAGTCAAGTCCGAGTATCTCAATTATTTTACATATAAAAAAACTAAATTTTGCAAACTCAAGTTAAACTTTTTCGAGCTCATTTTTTAAACAAGTCTAAAAAATTATTCTAACTCGACTCGTCAAATTTCATTTAAGCTAAACCCAAGCCCGAGCCGAAATAGTTCAACTTAATTATCAGCCCAACTAGGAACAAAGAATTGTGCTCCACTGTGGCGAAACGAGAAGTTCACTTTAGTCCAAACTCCTTCCACGGTATGTAGAGAGTCTGCTTATTCTTTGGTCATATACATTTGGTGGCATGAAGAACCAACAGTTCACAGTGCAGCTGCTGAAAATCAGAGTCTCCGCTCAATTACACTACTTTAATTTTCAGTTTGGAGAAGGTGGAATTAACAGGAAAGAGAACAGATTCCTATGAACTTATTATAATAATCCTCTGGTACTGGTACGCATGACAGAAGGGGGAAATTACATTCATTAAAGCATCTAGAAATTGGGGACTGAAAGAAACTAGAGAGAAACTTGGTGCATAATTAAACTCCAGGGATTGCCATACCACCATTATAGTGGCCCTGTGAAGCACGATCTGTAGGTGAAAGAAGACTGGCTCCCCGCCTGGGGGTTGTTGAAGTAGGTGAAGTTCTTGGAGAGAGGTTGGTAAATTCCAAGGCTTGTAACCTCAGCTCTACAGGGTAATCTGCAACACAACCAATTCTTGGGCCAGCACCTGATGACCATTTTAGAGTGAGTTGATGCCCCAACTGGTATGACTTCGCAGCCTTCTTGGAATTGATCCTTTGCAATATTGCTGTCTTGGGCACCTCTGCTCTTGGGCTCTGAAGACCGCCGGATAGAGTTCTTTCATAATTGGTTTTAGTTTCAGTTTGGGGAAGTTCAGTTGGTTCAGAGAAGAGATCCTTCTGCTCTTCATTGGAAATGTCAGATTGGGGCAGAACTAAATACACCGAAACTTCGGCTGGAGTCTCATCTCTGTTTGACTTGCTCTCTTCATAGTTATCATAATCTTCATTTGGCTTCCGTATCTGATGATAGGATATCCAAAACAGTATAATTAGAAAGACCAGGGCTGATAGAAGAGATATAATGACAATCCAAGAAGCCCCAGAAAGTGGATAGGGTGATTGCAAGCAAAGTGAAAAAGTTCGAACACAAGTCCAGGTGACACCAATGCAACCAAATCAGAGCTGGTATCAATTCCTGGAGTTCGTTCAGCTTCCTTCTCCACTTTGATCCAAAACATTTTTGAAAGACCAGTAAGTTTGTGGTCCAATGGCTGCTCCCAGTTTTTTCTAACAGCCCCAAGGCTGAAAGATTTCAGAAGTACAACTGTGAGCAAAAAAGAACTGAAACACTTACTTCAACTCTGTCAAGGTTGACTCCATTTTCCTTCAAAAATGATAGAAAACTGTCAAGGATATCATCAGTTGGGCGGTAGTGTCCACTGTATGCCGAGATGGACTGGAAAAAACATTAAATAAAAGCAGTTAAAAGTCATGCTCAAAAAAAAAAAAAAAAAAACTAATAAACTGGTTGTGCCATTTCAATTGCCCTTTGTGGATGGCCAAAGGGTTTGCATAAAAGAAATCGGTATATTTCTAAAGTTCTTCAGGCCAATCTGCTGTAGGTCCTCTTTTTATTAAAAAAAAAAAGAAGCAAAAGGGGCCTGGTGAAGGCCAGCAGAATGAAAGGATTTTTGAATGCATTTAGGTTCATTTGTACTTGAGAACCAGTTAACTGATAATCGAGGTGCACTGATGTTCTAACAGCTTAGCACTAAGCAGATTACATAATGATTAGGTTCCACAGGATAAAATGTACAGAGAAGGGCATATTCAAGGTCATCTCTGCTTTTGGAAGAGTGAAGTACAAAGAGAACAAGTTGTGACTGGGCATCTATGGTTTTCAACAGGATCATATCCTTAGCGAAGGGAACAAACGTCTCAGTAGATCTTCATTTAATTTAGTTCTAGAGCTACCAATTTACCCCATGAAAACAACATTAATTTGAAATCTCTCTCGTAATATTCAGCAAAATAAAACCTTCAAAGGACGAGCTCTGTGTATTGTGTAAAATAAACAGAACCATAGATGAATCAATGATGAAGTACATGCTGGTGAATGATATTTCATTCAAGCTCATGAAACTAAATGAGAAACCCAAACTATAAGAATCACAATAGAACATTAAAACAATAAATCAAAAAAATAATTCGGTATTTGACATCTAACTATTTGATATTAATTAAAAACTTGTAATTTCTGAAACTTGAAAAAAGTTAATAGTTACACACACTTTTGGAAAATATTTGCTATAATAAAAATCATTTCAAGTATTTGTCTATGCATTTTCATTCATGATGAACTCAACTACCAGCTTTAATGCAAAAACATGACTTGATGACTTCCATCAATATTTATCCCTGATGTAGCTCAAAATGTTACCTCACACGGACAATTTAATATAAAATTCACAAAAAATAGAAAATCAAAACCACCTGGACTATACCTTAAGTGTGCCACCCTCAACCTCAAGCCTTCCAGCAGCTAATGTAGTGCCTCCAGCCAAGAAGCTGGAATGATGAAACATTCCTTTCTTTTTCTGAAAGTAATAACAACGTTTAGTTTCTAACCATCAACAGAAGCAGTAAATATAAAGTAGAAACCTGTAAACAAATGGTTATTGTGTCCTTCTAAAACTCACCTCTCCGGCATAAAGTCTCTTTAAGGTGCTCATCACAAATATCCATTTTGCCCCGGTTGCTCCATTTTTTGTGTCTAGGAAATTTCCTGTTTGTTTATGCACTATTTTTCCATCCAGAACATCGTATTCATAGTATTCTCTCTCTTGCTGATTACAGCAAATCAACCACAAAACACAAAAGCAGAGAGTTAGTATCACGTGAAAATGTTCACGGGACTAACCATTCAAGCCAGTTGAAACTTGCACGCAATGAATTCAATTACATGATTCTAGTTTTGGAATTTCTGAAAAATGGATACTATAGGGCACATACAGGTCCAAGATACTTGATGCATTGTTGTCGAAGCTTTGATCTGGGGCATTCTTTGAGATCAACATCTTTCCCATCTCCAATATCCAACCTGTGAGATGTATAAATGACATGTTTTTAGAATTCGACTGCTCCTAGAGACCAAAATTAATCACATAATCCATAACCTATGCATCACTGCAACTGTACGTAAACGCTAGTAAAAATCTTTTGCCAGAACAGGACTGTATTCTGCATCTACTCATAAAACCACGGCAACATTTACTTTGCCGTTATCATCTCTATGGAGCTCATCACTCACAGCATATCTCCTACAATAACTATTCATTTGTTCACGAAGTTAATATAGGATGAGATTCTTCATATTAATTCCAACAATAACTTATTGTCCTGGACATGCAAATGGCACCAACATTGATACATTTATTCCATGTGTTTAAATTTTTTCTGGACTCTTTACAAAATCAAACTTTGCAAGGGACCATATCATAAAAGAATGAAAATAAAGATCTTCCAACACAAAATTGCTCATTCTTGATACAGAATCGACACGACCACCCCTATGCAAGATACCATATTTTTTTTAAGTACACTTCTTAATAATTCAACAAGTTCCACACTTCACTGCAAACTGTGTAGCTAATTATCGACGACAAATTTATTGACAGATTTATCAGCATACAAACATGAATTCCACAAACTTGAGGTCCTTATGCACATTAGGACACTTGAATCATCATAAATGTTCGGACCTGGGTAATAAAATATATATCCAGCCAGTTTGAACAGCTTCTCATATAGAAACTCAAGACTTGTTTTTTAGAATGTCACTTCAAATACAAAACCAGAATTCAAAGCCCCAAAGAAAGCTTTCTCACCAGTAGAAGAAGGGCTGGCCAGCTTCAGCTTGACACCACTCCTCATAATATAGATGCAAGCTATGCCCATATCGGTGCCGTGGATCAATCTACAATAAACACATAATAACTCGAAAATTCAGAAATGGGAACAGAGAAAGAGCAAGATTATCAGCAGCCACAAAAATTATTCAGGTAGAACAGTAAAATTAATCATAACTGAAACAGGGAAATGAGAGAAAGTGGCAAGGGCATGGAGAACAAGAGGTAACTTACAGCTTCGATCCAATGCTGAAAAGCCAATTTTTGTGCTTTGGCGTTTTTGGACAAACCCTTACCCACCTGTACACAATAGTCAAACTAACCGGCTATATATTTGACTAAAGTGAAACTTAATAGCTGTATGTTCCTTCAAAACATGCATAAAAAAACCAGAAAACAAAAAACAAAAAAGATATTGTAAACACAACAACAGATTAATAGAACCTGTTTTTTTTTTTTTTTCTCTTTTTTTTTTTCTAATTTATCTTACTAGCACAAACCAGAACCAAAGAGAAAGGAGGGAAGTGCGAAACACTGCCTTAGAAGCATTCAATCTGACTCGATTCCACCGCGAAGCCGCAGTTTCCGGTTTTAAGAAATTGAAAAAGGAAACTGTACTGTAATTCAATCTTGCATAGTCGATCGCTTGCCACCTTCAAAACCATCATCATCAGATCATCATTACTACTTTTCACAAGTTTCATAAAAAGAAGCATAGAGTGTGTTATGTATATAATTTTGCCTAAAAACAGAGAAATAGATAATATATTCGTAAATTAACATATATTTGTATGTACCAGAGCTCTTCAGCTACTACAGCTGAATCTGCTAACTTGCGCCGAGTGCGATAACTCCGATAAACCTTCTGGACCTTCATTGCACTGGACACGAAACTCGCCGGTGAACCTGCGACTCTGACTCCACCAGAAGTCTCAGATCCCTCACATTTCTCCGCCGTCGATTCGCCGTTTAAAATCGAATTCGGAGTCATATCAAAGCCCTCACATTTCCGGCTTCCAGTCGGAGACTCCGTTTCCGAGTTAGGATCAAACGGAGATTCCAGTCGGTCACTTTCCCGCGACTCTGACATTTCTGAAGTCGGAGGCTCCGTACCGAGGTTCATGGAGTAAGAGAAGGATCGGTTCTTGTCGAGATCGAAGTCGGATAATCTGTGTGCTTCGACCTCCATTGACTCTACGGTCAACAGCAGACCCTAGAGACTGACCGGTAAAGTCACGGAGAGAAAGAGAGAAAGCCTCCGAGTGTGAGAGATCGAAAGAAGTAGTTTGTATGTATATGGGCCAGACGACTGGTGCTCTGTTTCGCGGTAAGTCTTCCTATCTGTCTCGGGGCAGTATTGAATGCAAAGATGATGACAAGTCATCAAATATTCTTATTTAATAATTATAATTAAATAAAAAAAAAAGTGAATTTTACTATTTTACCCCCAAAAAAATTGGGTATAACAATTATTTCACGTTATTAATGCAATGAATATGACTGTACAGATGGGATTTGGGAGAACTTATCAGCATCCAGTGTTTTCATTGAACAAATCTGACGAATGTCTGAGAAATTAACTAAGTTTTATCGTTTCTTATAAAAAAAAAATAATAATTAATGGCTAGGACAGCAGTGGGGACTAGGGGTGCAACTATTGGGTGGTTGTCACAGCAGTCCTCCGGTAAGACAACAGTAGGGGTGGGTTGATCTCGGGTTACATGACTTGGATTGTAATTCAGGTTAAATTCGGTTTAAAATCGAATTTATTGTTAATCAAAACTTAAATTGAACCAAAAATAGTATTCAGTTTAGTATTCAACGCTAAAATTGAACTTAAATTCTATAACTTTTATTAATCAAAACTAAATACAAACAAACAAAAAAAATTCACATAAATAGGCTTAAAACATTAATAACAATAGATAACCAGTTTTGTGCAAATTCCCTAAATTTTACATATAAGTATGTTTGTCATTTTTAATTTCTTTTTTCATATTTTAGGTTGTATCCCATTTCATAAATTTGGGTTATGTTCAAGTTAAACTAATCAATTTAAAGTCCCAACTCAAGTATTGTCCAAATCTAATTCAGGGTTGGATTTTTTTTCACCCATGTCTAAATCATGCATTAAAAAACTCAAGTTGGACTAGGATTAACATTCCCAAAGTGTATTCCTAGCCTAGATAGCAATCCTCCCTTGTATTGACATTGTTTAAAGANAGGATTAACATTCCCAAAGTGTATTCCTAGCCTAGATAGCAATCCTCCCTTGTATTGACATTGTTTAAAGAAAAAAAAAACCTCCATTATCACAAATGAATTAAAGAAAATGCTATGCTTATCCAAAAAAAAAAAATTAACCAAAAAACTCATCTCATTTTCTACAAATAATGTATGTGGAAAATACATGATAAGATCTTAATTTTAATTTAGACATTGGTATAATGAGATCTTCTGCTAGAAAACTCGTGTCGACCCGTGTAAGGTAACATCTCTTAACAGGGGGGAACCCAATGGTAAAAGGGAGTCATAGCAACCTTGTAATCATTGTGAATAAAACAAAAGAAGCAAGAACCTCTATTATAGAGTGGACTATCTGAATTCCTGAGTCGGTGAATCACTATATTTTCACTGTGTACGCTGCTTTAATCCCCTCAATATTTTATTGTAGCATCATACACGAGTCTCATAACTTTGATTCATGCTCATCTCCCATTACTTTCACCTCAACCTCATCCACGTTGATATACATTATCAAGTTACATAATGCATTTATTTTGTAAGTTATTTTTCACTTTAAATATAAATACCTACTAGTAGATATAAATTTAAATATTTAAAAATAAAAATAAAAAATTTATTCATTTAAAAATAATTTAGGGTCCCATCTAAAAAAATTGCCTCAAGCCTAAAGTATTATTGGACTGGTCCTGCAGACAACACATGGTGTACTGATGGATAATGTTTTCGAATATGTTGAATGATATATATGTATATTTATTTAGTGTACTAAAAAAGAAAAAATCATGATTGGGGATATGGCGGGTCTACGCTCTTGAGAAGATACTAATGATATACTCGCCAGCCCCGACACAGAGTTTAGAGCGGTCACCGATGGATAAGCACTGAGCTTTAGTCAAACCTAAAAGTCGTCTTCTGTATGCTACACGTGAACACGTGTTCAAGAAATATATTTACTTCAGCCTTTTTATAATTTATTCATTTATGAAAAATATTTAATTTATTCACTTTATTTACCAATTTAATGTATTATAATCATTAAATTAATATCAAATTCCAAGTAATATTGAATTTCATTATCAATCCAATAACAAATAGTAAATAGTAATCCTAATATGGGTGTAATAAATAGTAAAATGGTCGACCATTCTGAACAAGTAGAGGATTGATGAAAAATGATTGGGATTTGGTAGTATCACCCTTTATAGAGGTCGAGACTGATCAAGTTAATCGGTTCACACAATTGTTCATGTACCAGAAAAAGATTTAGTAGTTATCGCGTTCCCTGTTTCTTCGAGTGGAATTGGGTCAAAAAACTCAACGGCATTATTTTTATATCCACTACTTTTTTTTTGCTGTATTGCGGATATAAAAATAATAAAATAAAAATTGGATTCAATTAATAATAGCTGTGTTTTTTTATATTCATCACAATTTACATTTGTTGGTATGTGTTACAATTAATGTATAACAAATTGATCGAACAACAATAAAATTATAATAAAAAGTAGTTGTTTCTTTTTCTTATAAAGAAACGTTAAAAATAAAAGGTATCTTTAAATCAACTAGGGTACAATCCACCCCTAAACCAAACATGTTAGGTAGCCTTAAACAAGGTCACTTTGACCCCACTATTTATAATACATTTATTTTTTTGGTCATACATACTTCATCCTGCCGACAATTTCTTATGTTTACATTAAATTTATTAATAATCGCCTGAGTCATGCCATTGGTCTAATTAAAAAAGTGAAGGAAAAGTAAAATAGACAATATAAAAATAAACAGTAAGCATTTCTTCGCAATCCTAAGTCTAAACAGACTTTTTTTTTTAACAGGGAGAGGACGACGATGTTCAAATGAAGTTTAATATCGAAGACGATAGTCATTAAACTAACCATAAGACTCAAACATAAGAATTCATATTCAAACTCAACTTTTCATCCTTTCAACTTTTTATCATTTCACTTTTTTATCGTACCAAGCGGAATATAAGTATCCATACATATGATTTCAAACATAAACTAAAGGAAATAAATTGAGTCTAACGGTGACACCATTGTTAGGTAATGTCACATTTAATGAAAACATAACATCACATTTAATGAAAACATAACAAGTGAACAATTAGATCTATTTTATTTATTTTATTGCAATGCTATACAACTCAAGTGAAATTTTTTTTAATGGGACTTACTTATTTAATATTTATCTATTTAATATTTATCTAATGAATGATATGTATTTAAATTATTATTTTTAGGTTCAATGATGACATGACAGAGCATTGACGAAGTGATATAACTATTGTTTTAAATATTTGCAAGTACTTTAGACCTAATAGTGGCCAAAATAAGATTATTAAAGACTTGGAGGGCTTACCAATTTCAAAGTCAAGTCATCCTTGTCGTCCTTTTTGTGCAGTGGGTGACTCATTGTTTTGGCTGTACACAATTTGGTCAAACATCTTCACAACGTGCTAAGGACCTTTCATGGAGGGCCATCAACATGGACCAAGTGATCTATTGCCCACCAATAAATTGTTCCTTGTCTGTTTTCAAAATAAAAACAAACTAAATTACAGAGAGAATACAAAAAAAAAAAAAATCCACCCATAAGCACCTATGATAACATTATTAATTTGATTAGGAAGAAAAATTATGGTAGATATCACAATTGGTCCCTGAATTGTGTATTTGAATTCAATTTGGACTTTGAACTTTTAATTATCCATCACCTACCAATTTTATATCAATTAAATCGTTCAATCTATTTTCATCTAAGGGGTATTAATTGAGACGAGCTACTTGATTCGGTTTGAGCTCAGCTCGTGTTTCAAACGAATTGACGTTGAATGATTTTTTTAGATTTGTTTAGAAAAACGAGCTTAAAAAGCTCATGTTAAGCTCTATTCGTTTAAACGAAAAAAAGTTAAGCTACTCGAGCTCAGCTCATGTTTGACCCCTAAACTAACTGAGTTTGAACAATTTTTTAAATTCATTTAAAAAAATAAACTCGACAAACTCGGGTTCAAGCTCGCAAAACTCTGTTTGATTAACACCTCATATTTCCATCTTAGATCATCGCTAAAATTGATTAAATTAGGCTAGTTTTCGATTAATCTAATGGTGGAATAGATGAAAGAACTTAATTGAGATGAAATTGATAGTTATGGAACTAAATTGAAACAATTAAAAGTTCATGAAATAAATTGAAACTAGAAAAAAAAAAAAAATCAAGGACCAATTATGATATTTACCCATAATTTTTCTTCCTATTCAATTAATAATGTTATTGTAGGTGTCTATGGGTGGGATTTTTTTTTTTTTTGTATTCTCTCTGTCTCTTTGTTTTGTTTTGTTTTGTGTTTTTTTTAATGAAAACAGACAAGAAGAACAAAATAGTGGTAGGCAATTGTTTGTATTCTCTCTTTAGTTTAGTTAAGGGACCAAATAATTGTTATTAAACTACTTTAAAGGGAAGATGTACTATTAGAATGTCCTTTAATCAATAGTTTGTTTAGGTATTAAAGGATTCCATGCACTCTAGAGTATCCCCTTATAATATGACTTTATAAGAGCATTTCCAATCGATGGTGTACAATTCTAAAAGAACTAAAATTTAGTTAATTAATTATATATAAAAATTCAACTAGAATATGTTTAGATACCCTAAAATAATTTTTTGTTACAATGATGCTCTATAATAAATATAGGACATCATTGCAACAACTTATATAAATACTTTATAATTATAATTTTTTTCTCTCTCTCTTGTGCACTTTCAATCTCTCTCCCAAAAAAAAAAAAACAGTTCTAACAAAGGTACAAAAATATGTGAAAAAATATTTAAAATGTAATTAAAATATATAAAATCTGTAGGAGTGTATATTGAAAAAATGAATAGTTAAAATAGAAAAAATAAATAATATTTAAAAGTAATTAAAATATAGAAAATCTGTATATTAAAAAATGAATAGTTAAAATAAAAAAAATTAAATAACTAAAATACAAAAACTTATTAAAAATGCTTTAATGCGCGATATAACAACATTTTAATCAATCAACACCACCAAGGACAAAAGACCCAAAGAGTATCGAAA